ATCTTTGGATTGTTTTCCCTTGTCTAAAAACCAAGTGTCAATGTCAGTATCTTTGATGCAATTGCTGTACCCCTCGCTTGTCTTAAACTGTAGTGCAGTCCACAAGCATCTCATGAAGGAGCTTACATAATCTGAACAACTAATCTTACTGCCCAATGAAGTCTAAAGAAATCTGTCCACACAAAAATGACAGGCTTTCAGCTGCAAGCAGAAGTATGCAAAATCTGCAACAGAAAAATCTGCCTTTGTTGGTATACTAAAACTTCCTTGCAGGTAAAATAATAAGGAAAATATATAGACTGGTATAAAATAATGCTAATAATTTAGTCTTATCTTCTCCTTGCCTTAATTATAAAACAATGTGCTGTGAAAGTCAAGTTTTTTGTTTTTTATTTAATTTTATATTTTAATTTAATTTTACATATCAGCCACGGATTCTGCTCTCCTCCCTCCTCCCGCCCCCCTCCCCCAAGCCCAACCCATATTCCCATCTCCTCCAGGGCAAGGACTCCCTTGGAGATTCAGCTCAGCCTGGTAGATTCAGTTTTTATATGTCCAGCTAAAATACTAGTCTGAGTTCTTACCTGCTACATTATAGACATTGGCCATTGCTCTCTAGAAGCATTTTCGGGGCAGTACAAAGTCAATTCCTTTCTCTTCATCCATGGCAAAGGCTTGTGATGCCACTGTGTCACATATGTTTCCAATTAATCTCCTACCAGGCTATCTGATTGAATTATACAACCACTGAATGTTTTAAAGGCTTCCCTGATTTGAAGCTCAGCCATAGGTTAAACAGTCAAACTGTTGGTTGAACTATCAAACTCAAAGTACATGTTTAACATAAACAAGTCATTTCACAGATACAAGCATGGATAATGGGGTATTGTAGTAGCGGAAGGCAGATGCCTTTGCCTCATTTTGTTCTTATACCTAAAACACTGCAGTGCTTATTTTTTTTAACATTAAAAATAAGGGACAAAGAGACATTTCCACTTATTACAGTATAGACAAATAATCTGAATAATTCAGCCTCTGTTTACAGAGTACAAAGTGAAGTTCAGATTCCATAAATATTCAATATTAATATGGTAAATCAGTCTAGACAACTCAGAAACCACCCTAACTCTGCATAGTTCGATTTGCTGGTCCTGAGAGAACTGATTCACCAGGTAATTACTATATCACCACTTTACCATTACATAGAAATACCAAAGAGGGGAAAATGCCTCCTTATTTTCAACTTAACTTACATCATCATTGCAGTTCCGTGGTGTAGAGTACTGTGGGTTCAGTCACAGAAGGAGACCGTTCCCAGACTTTCCAAACGCCTGCTCTGACTTAGACATGGCAGCTCTCTTTTGCCTTCCTTTCTCTGCCCCAGGTTTGGTCAGTTCACAAGAGCTGTCACTATGTCTTAGCTCCCTGCAATCTCATCCAGGTGAGCAACTCCAGCCTCTTGCCAGACAGCTGTGCAGCAGGCAGTGGTTCTCCTGACACTGGGGAAAGAAAGATATCTTTTGCAAGGACGTGCTGGAGAAAAGAAGTTGGTTTGTAACTAAGGCTGGCTGAGAAGGATGCAAAAGAACGGCATCGAAGATACAGGCAAAAATAAAACACCTCTGTCCTCTTAGTTACCTCTAGGGTTTCCTGTAATAATTCTCTTTATGCTCTTTAGAAAGCAGCTAAATGTGAGAAGGGATCGATGGAAAACCATTGGAGGGAGACAGAAAGGGCAACCTTAGCCTGGTAATTAAGAGTCAGAGCTATGACTATCACTCTCCCTTGCAGACCTAACGGTGTGTTCAGAGCACATAGACGGCAAGTCATTCCCAGAAGCCTTCATGATTTTCCTCCAGAACCTTGCAAATCTTACAAGTACTCCACTTCTCTCAATGTTTGTGGAAGGTCTGTTACCAGTCAGAACAAAGCTGGACAATTCAATAGTTTAGAGAATCAGAGCTTTTGCCAAAGTGATGGACATCAATGCTAAAATAAACACAGGCACTGTGCTCTGCCTCCCTCCCCATTCTGCTTTCTCCACCCTGAAATACCTCTGTAGGAGCAGGTCTGCCTGAGCCCTCACTCCTCACATCCTCATTTGTGTGTCCTTTGGACTTCTCATCCTCAGAAATGCCCCAAACAAGAGTTCAATAGATTGTAAGTTGAGCACATGCCATTTCTATAAAATGGAGGCGAAAATGCATAAACAACAGGAGGGAATCCAAACCAAAGAAACTCTGAGCTGCTAAATATGTGATCCCAGAGCTCTGAAGAAATAAAACACAAGAAGATTGAGAGTCTGTGTTTGAAAGTCATTGTCTGTCAATCAGTTCCTTACCCTTACTTTATTTTACTTTACACATTTGGAGATATCATAAATGTATAGAAAAAATAATATAACAACCCTCCTCAGATCCACCCTCCAGTTGCAACCTTTAACAATCTGTATTTTTGTTCATCCCTCCAATTTTTTGAAGTATAATTCACTCTGTATCTCACACATAAATACAAGACAAAAAATAAAATTCTCTTTAATGTGCACCCCAGAGTCATTTCATGCACAACAAATCAATGATATCTTTTTTAATGCTCAGCCTATCTTCAAACTTGCTTTATTCCTAGTTGCTTTGTTAAATTAGGATCCAAATAAGGTCTACATTTGTTTAGTAGTATTTCAGTTAGTGTTTCTGTTGTTGTGATAAAACATCATGACCAAAAGTAACTTGGGGGAGAAAGGGCTTATTTCAGCTTATATTCCACTTTACAATCCAGAATTGCAGGAATCTGGGGCAAGATTTCTGATGCAGGCCATGGAGGAGTGCTTCTAACTGGCTTGCTCTTCATGGCTTGCTCTACCTGTTTTCTAATAGCAGCCAGGGCCACCAGCTAGGGGTGACACCTCTCACAGTGAGCTGTGCCCTCTTACATCAATTATCAATAAAGAAAATGCATGACAGTGCTCACAGGCCAATCTGTTGGAGATATTTTCTCAGTTAAGCTCCCTCTCCAAAATTGTTCACAGTGGCATCATAATTATGTCTGTTGGCATAAAAGTAGCTAGTACAGGAAGTTACTTAAATCTCTTTCTCCATTTCAACCAAAGCACGCGCCCGTGCACGCACACGCACGCGCGCGCACACACACACACACACAGATAGACATAGACAGACAGAGAGGAAGGGAGTGAGAGAAAGAGAGACAGACACAGAAGAAAGAGGAAAGGGTGAGATAAAGTGAGAGAGAGAGAGAGAGAGAGGGAGAGAGAGAACCAGGACCTTGTGCATCTTATACATGGTAGGCAAGTATTCTACTATTGAACTATATCTTAGCCCTTAAATTTTCTTTAATCTCCATTGTCTCTTGATTTCTTTTTATTGGGGAACTAATGGGGTTGTGTGCCTTGAATATTTACCCACATGCAGAATTTGTTTGATCACATCCTCATGGAGCCATGACTATGTCTTCTTATTTCCATAATTTTTCTTACTAATTGATTTTAATATTAGAGGACATATGAACAAGCTTTAACTGAAGGCAAGAAAAATTGCATAAGTTGTGACTTGTATCTCATCCTCTTTTCCTTTCAGCTGCACTGAAAAGCAGTTGACAGAAGTTTAAAATTGTATGATGCTTTTTATAGTATCAGGAATAGAAGTTACTCAGGCTGGCTTTGAACTTCCTCTGGAGCCCAGAAAAGCCTGGCCCTTGCGGTCTTCCTGCCTCAGTCTCTGGAGTGGCTGAGATTACAGGCTTGGGTTACAGACCCCAGCCAACATAAAGGTTTAATATAGGCATATTTTGTGAAATTACTATCTCAATAAAATCAATTAGTCACTCTAACATCTCATATAATTACTAGTTTGTATTTGATAAGATCTACTTGACATATACAATGTAGCATTATTAACCATGGTCGTTTATGCTATACATTAAATCACATAAACTTATCATATAGAATTGAACCTTCATTTCTGTGGATAATGACTCTTACCTTCCATGTTTCAGCAATAACCATTCTCCTCTGTGTTATACTATGTAAGCTCAAATTTAAATTGATCTGAGAAGATCATGTAGTATTTGTTTTCTGTCATTTGCTTACTTAGCTTAGTTTAGTATCCCCTAGTTCAAGCTTATTATCCTAAATGATAGGACTGCCTTCTTTTTAAAAATATTTTTTATTCTTGAGAATTTCCTACATGTATACAATATATTTTGATCATATCCCTGTCTATTTCCCCTTCCTAACAGGCCCCCAACTCCCTCACAACTTTTTCTGTACCAACTTTATCTCTTTTATTTTATTTTTTAAAATATCCAAATAAGTCCAACTAGTGCTGCCCATGTGTGTGGGTGTAGGAGATCTACTGGAGCATGTGGCCCCATCTAAACACAAAAGAATCCCCCTATTCTAGCAGCCATCAACTCTAATAGCTCCTCAGCTAGGGGTGGGAACCTACCCATACTTGAGTACAGGAACTGTCTTCTTTAGACCATTGTGTGCTTACATTTTTCTTTGTTTATTCACATGACAATAATGGACACTGGATTGTTTTCATTTTTGGATATTATGCACAGTGCTGAAATGAACAATGTTGTTCTATGTGTTGATTTCATTTACTTTAGATACAGATCCGGAAGAGCAGTCAGTCATGGTCTGGTAGTTCTCTTGTTCCGTTGTGAGGACCTCTGCAGCTCTCTTCACACCAGGTGTAACAGTTTTCTTACTAAGAACACCGTACCAAGGTGCCTTCTTACGTCACTGTTCTTTCTCTTTTAGTAATGGACATTCGAAAACGTAGGCGCAGGTATTTCATTACAGTTTTGACTCATATTTCCTATATTCCCGGTGTTGTTGAACATTTTTCATATCTCTTTTGATGATTTGTAAGTTAAGTCTTCTTAGAAAAAAATGTCTAAGTCAGGCAGTGGTGGTGCACACCTTTAATCCCAGCACTTGGGAGGCAGAGGCAGGCGGATCTCTGTGAGTTTGAGGCTAGCCTGGGCTACAAAGTGAGTTCCAGGAAAGGCACAAAGCTACACAGAGAAACCCTGTCTGAACAAAAACAAAAACAAAAAAAAGGGGGGGGGATCTGTTCAGATCCTTTGTCTGTTTTTCAGTTGCCCCGGTTCTGAGTGGGCTATTTGCTTTCTTCCTGCTGGAGTCATAGTTTGACTGTTTACCCTTTACCAGATACTGTCAGAAAATATTTTATTTCAGTTCATACGTTGTTTCTTTTCCTGTTGATCGTGCCTTTTCCTGATTAATGAAATGCTGCCCGCTGTTATTTCCTATTCTTTGGGGGTCAGTATGTGTAGTGGTCACTTCCACAGCATTTTCACGGCATACATGAGAGAGAACAACTCCGGGTTCCTTCTGGCTCATGCTCCCAGAAGTTGCACGTCAGCACAGCGGAGAAGGCAGAGCAGAGCAGCTTAGACGGTATGGAAGCAACTGGGGGACTTGATGGCAGCAGTGTATGTGGTGCATGCTGATGACGTCACAGAACCAGGAAGTAAGGAGTCAGCCAGGACCAGAAGTCAGGGTAAGCGTCTGCCACAGAGACCCATCATCCTAAATGTTATACCATCTCCTAAAATATTGTCACTAACCAGAAAGCAAGTTCTCAGAGCAAGAGCTCTTGGGGGACACTTCAGATGCATTAGCAGTGTTGGCCAGCTTTCTGTTACTATGATAAAACACCAAGAGAAAATCAATTTAAAGACACAAGATTTATTTGGGCTCAAGGTTTTGGAGGTTCCAATCTCTGGTCAACTGGCTCCAGTGCTTCTCAGTCAGGCAGAGCCGTATGGTGGGAGAAAATGGTGGTTCAAACGTTTTTACTTAATGACAGATGGGAAGGAGAGAAAGTCCAGGGGAGGGTCAGAGAAAGAGGGAGAGAGGGACAATGGGAGGGGGAGAGAGGGAGAGAGGGAGAGAGGGAGAGAAGAACAGGGAGAGAGGACAGTCCATTCCTCTCAACTAGGCCCCATGTCCAGTTTTCATCAATTACCAATGCTCCATAAAATGATGAATCAATCAACAAATTAACTCGCTCAAAGGCAATCGCAATTCAATATTAATCATTTTATATTTTAACTTTTATAGTGGCATTAACAATGATTTATGGATCATTATTTTACTGTGGTGGTCTGAATTTGATTATGCTCTTATCTTTTTATTAAGTTTCTATTTTCTTGGTATTTATTAGCATTCTTTCATTTTTAAAAATCTAGTGATGATGAATACAGCATGTGTTTGTGTGAGAACACATCTCTTGCTCATTTTGAGGCACAGCTTTGTAGGGAATAGCATTCTGGCTTGTCTGATTTGGCTTTGGTTCATTTAACACTGAATATTTCATTCCATGCCCCCTTAGCCCATGAGGTTTTACTGAGCAATAACTAGTACATATTTGAGAATCCCCTTGTAAGCAGCCTTTGTTCAGGCTGAAGTTAGTTCACAGGGCTGGTTTGGGAGCCAGCTTATCATCTAAGTTTGACCGGAAGACAGATTTTCACGGGCTGGCCTGGTTCTGAGGCTCCCTGAAAGAGGTCTGACAATGGGTTCTGAAAAGCTGAGTGTACTTTTCACTGGCCTACCCTCAAATTAAGGGTGTCTGCCTCTAAGCTATGCTGTACAGGTTTGGGCAGGCATGACCCAGGTCATGTGCGGTGCTCTGTGATGTCCTCTTTAATGATTCTTTACCGTCTTCTCTGTTGTACCCAACCACTCGCTCAGATTTAGCGCTTACACTTTCTGTTAATGGTTAAGTGTTGAAATTAATGCTTTTATGAAGGATAAGTGTGAAAATCTATTCTATCATCTCGATGCCCTCGTTTAGAAAGTTGTTTTAAATATATCGAGAGACACATACACTACCTGGTAGATCTAGTTATAGTACGTCTTTACAATGACTTTTTAATTCTTTGAAAGTTTTATACATTTGTGAAATGGATATTCTAATCATATTCATCCAATTCCTTCCAACTCCTCCTCCTCCTCAATTTAAGAACTGAGTTGAGTGTTCCACTTAGGTAGTGCATCTGTGCCAAAACATTTTACTGAACACATCGGAGTTTTGTAGCAATTTTTTATAGCTTGTTTATGCTGCTTACATTGAAGTGGAGAAGTCGCCGTTTTATTTATTATGACTTTATCTTTCTTTCTGCATTTAATAGCTCTATAATATAATGAAGCTTTATTTCACTAGCTCTCCACTGTAAAGTAGTTCACATAGAAAGTCAAAATAAACACTGAACTTTGTCTCCTGCTCTTTTTTTTTTTTTAGCCTCTTTTTGGAATAATAGATTGGTACCCTAGCAACACCTAGTGGTGATCACTGATGGTTTTGAGTGTAATTATAGAGTCATAAACTTAAAATGTTCTGATATTTCTGTTCATAGTGGATGTTATCCCCTCTGATGCTCCATATGTTTCATCTATCATTAATGAGAGCCCCTGAGATCGGCTGTTGCCTCCTTTTGACATGTCCCCAAAAGTCATACATATGCACCCATTTCTGACGTAAGGTATGTATATCCTGATTCATTTTGAATCCTTCCTACCACAGATGAAGTGTCATCTATTTCTTTAACAATCCCTCATTTGTGTGTATGTGGTACTAGTGGCCTTTTAGACTTCCACACCCCTCATTTAAGTGTATTTCCCCCTTATACATAAGACATCAACAGAATAAATGATCAAATAACATGATGTATGTGGTGATGGGGTTATCGGAATGTCTTATAATGAATAACAATTCAACAGTGGCTGTCTAAATGTTGGAGAGGTTCAGAATCCAGTCCAAGAAGCCTAATACTTCAATGGTCTCACTGTGATGCTAAAATCCTAGGAGATTCTTGGAAGATGTCTGGTCTTCAGTGCAATCAGAAGACCAAAGATGCTGATGTTGGTGAAGAATAGCACAGGCAGCAACGGATGCAAGCACCAGGCAGCTGGAAGGGAGCACAGACATACTGCAGCACGGCCTTCCTAGGACATTTTTCATATCTAAAATGCCAATGGAATTTGCTATCCACTCTCATGGAGGGTTTGTCCTGCTTATTACGCCAAGAAAGTCCCTTGAAGACTCACTGAGAGGTGTGTTTCTCAGTTGGTTCCAGATCCAAAGAGGTTGGCAATAGGAACTAACCCTCACAGTCACTTTTATATTATTATTCATATTCACTCTTGTGGTTGAAAAGTTCTTCTTATATGATTAAACAGCTCTGGGAATCAAGATCTGTACCATGGAGAGCTTGTTAGAACAAGGTACGCATCAAATACCCTGGAAATGCTTAACCACAGCCATGATCATATGCACATGTTGCTCCACCTCTTGTTCTGACCTCCTACGGCATTCCTGCCTTGTAGGACATAACTAGGGGCAGTAAAGAGAGTCTTTGAAAAAAGGGAAGTAGGCCAGGTGGTGGTGGTGGTGGTGGTGGTGGTGGTGGTGGTGGTGGTGGCGGCGGCGGCGGCGGCCCATGCCTTTAATCCCAGCACTCAGGAGGCAGAGCCAGGTGGATCTTTGTGAGTCTGAGACCGGCCTGGGCTACAAAGTGAGATCCAGGAGAGGCACAAAGCTACACAGAGAAAACCTGTCTCTAAAAACCAAAAAAAAAAAAGGGGGGGGAGGGGAGAATGGCCATTGTGCCTTCTCTTTCCTCATTTACAAGGAGAAATGAGAACATGTGGTAATAAATATTTGGCCTGCAAATTTTCATCCTTCAAAAAAATTTACAAGGCATAAAACACTTTATTGCTGGCCCACTTTATTGCTGAATTTGAATAATTTGGGATCCAGATGTTGGGTTCACATAAGACATCTCTTCCAAATTAAACATTTTTAAAAAGTGTCTTTGGATTGTTTTCAGACCTTGGAAATCTTTATCTCTTGATCCAAGTCTCTTTGTTCTTAGTTCTCTAACATGTTCTCCACCAAAGCTGCAAAACTTCTCAGGTTAAAGAGGTGTTCTTTTCTGAACTCTTCATCATCATTAGGATAGCTTCTGGCAAATTTGTCTTTTGATTGATTCCTAATTTAATTCTATAATATTTGATATTTCATTTTTTTTTCTTGGAAATTTAATCTCTAATCTTGTTCAATAAAGCAACTCTGGAATTTTATTCACGTTCAAAAACGATTCCATTCTGCTGATTATCACTTTTATGAAAACGAGTTTTACATCTGCATATCCTTTCAAAGGAAAAGAAGAATGCTGCTAAATTATTAAATCTTTTGTCAAAATGCTTCAAAATTCTGTTTTTATTTATCAGATATTTTAGTTGAAACATTTTCTTAGAAAAAAAATTCCTTATGAAGAAAGCATTGAGTTCTCCTTTTATCTATACATTAAACAGTTTATGTATTCCTTTAATTTTAGGTGCCAATGATTTACCTTTTGGGTTCTTTCCATGAAGAAGATTCATAAGATGGGCAAAACTTATCATTCACATCTTTTTATAAAAGTGGGTAAGTACTCAAAAATGATTATAAGATAATGATTGAAGTATAAGTTATGCTACAAAGTGGATGATGACATTTAAAAATACAAAAATGCATGCTCAGATTTCTATTACTCTAATGAAATACCTGACACAGGCTATATATGAAGTGGAAGGTTTATTTACATCAGAAATATAGAAATTAAAAGTCAAAGATCAACTGTCTCACTTATCCAGAGACCTGGTCCAGTTCCATGGGGGATCCTCAGCTATTGGTTCACAGTTCATGTATTCCCACTAGTTTGGCTATTTGCCCCTGTGCTTTATCCAATCATGGTCTCAATATCTCTTGCTCATGTAATCCCTCCTCTCTCTCACCAATTGGACTCCTGGAGCTCTACCGGTCGATTAGCTTGAACTGTTTAGGAGGCCCCCAGGCAGTAGGACCTGGACCTGTCCTTAGTGCATGAGCTGGCTTTCTGGAACCTAGGGCCTATGCTGGGACACTTTGCTCAGCCTAGGTGAAGGGAGGAGGGGACTGGACCTGCCTCCACTGAATCTACCAGGCTGAGCTGAATCCCCAGGGGAGTCCTTGCCTTAGAGGAGGTGGGAATGGAGGGTGGATTGGTGGGGGGGGGGCAGGAGGAGGGAGGACAGGGGAATCTGTGGCTGATATGTAAAATTAATTAATTATAAAATTTAAAAATAAAATAAAAATCTTTCTGAAAAAATAAGTCAAAGATCAGGAAGCCCCATAGACTTGCCCCCTGTAAAAGGTGGCTAGTGGTGGACCATCAGAGTGGTTTGTGTATGTTCAAATGGTCACCTCATGAACCACAACACAGAGAAAGCCACAACACATCTTACAATTCCTTTCAAAGGCAATCTTCAATAACATAAGACCCTCTCACAAACATCCACCTTTCAATGGTCCATAACATCTCCTACCACCTCCACTCTTGAGACCTACTCTTTTACATATATACCTCTGAGGGACACACAAACAAAATGATAGCAGTAGGTAGCTGTAGTGTGGCAGGGACAAATATATATAACAGAGCCAAACACTCGCCTGCTGACAACACCATTTTCTAGTCTAATGTAGAAAACTTAGATGGACGAAAACATTTTTAATATTACTTTCTCCTCATTCTTAGGAACTTCACACAGTACACAATGAAAAACGACTATATCCACTCCTTACTTCCTCTGCCAACTCCCCATAAATTCCCTGGCAATATGCCTCCCCCTTCATGATGTCTTCTCTTTCTCTGCCCTCCCCATCTCATACACTACTAAGTCCAAATACATGCATGGATGTAAGGCTATCTACTCAGTGAGGCATGGGAAATGTACCAGGGGTTTCACATTCTGTGGGGCAGGGAAGGGAATGAGTCTTTTTTCACCAAGATTAACAGCCAGTATCTCCTTAGTAAAGAATGAGGCCTGAAGAACAACTTCCCCATCCATGATGGGTTTGGGGCTGGACTAACCTTGTGCAGGTCTTGCATAGGTAACCACACCTGGTGTGAACTTACAGCTGCAAGAGCCATGTTGACTCCAGAATTTGCCTCCTCATCATCCAGCTGCTCTGTTTTGTCTCCTGAGCCTGGTAGTGGTGATGTTGAGAAAGATGTTCGACCTTTAGGACTGAGTATGCAGTCTCTTATTTTTATTACTTTGATCAGTTATACATAATAGCAAAAAGAATCATCTCAGGCCAAAACTGAGAGTAGTCCAAGTCTATGCACATAAAAATAAATATATAGAAAGAAATTTGACAGACAACATGGCCCTTTAGTAACTGAGTAAAATAACAATAGCAGGTTCTAACCTAGGGTCTATGACTTCCCCAGCCACGGGCTTTTGACCGGGATCACAGTACCATGAAACTCCTTCTTATAGCACAGGCTTCAAATCCAATCAGAATTCTATTGCAGTTGACTATTTAATTTCTGGAAATATCCAATATGTAAGTATTCTTTTTGAATTTTACCATATTCTCATGTATGTCTTTTGTTACTGTTTTAGTAGAAAATAAAATATTAAAGCACCTTAAGCCAAGTTAGAGTATGATTTCTGCAAATTTTTAGACACACACACACACACACACACACACACACACATACACACACACACCTCATAATAAACATAATAAACTAATTTCCTTGAATTCACAGACACAGACATAGATGAGGGAAACAGATCACTATTAAGTTTTGTACATTGACTTTGCTAGTGTATATTGACATGGAAATTGCTGAGATATTAGAATCCATTGAAGTTTTTATTAATATTACCTTAAAGCCTATTGAATATTGATTGACAAATAATGATTTGAAATTTCTTTTGGCAATAGAATACATATGCAGTGTGCAAAGTTCTTAATATCAATGCTAGTGCAAATGGGATTATCACAACTCTGCAAGGGTGATATTATTAGTACACTCACCTTAAACATGAAGAAACACAGTTAAATGGGCCTAAAAATGGATGCAGCTGGAGACGATGCATATCAAAAAAACAAACATGGCATGTTTCCTCTCTTTGTGAATATAGACTTCATAGAATATCACTGGGGAACAGGGCAGACTTACAGGATTGAGGACAGGTGAGACTGAGAAAGCGGGTATGGGGAAGCACATTATAAACTTGAATGACATTATGTGATGCTATCTAATAACATAATAATAATAATAACATTAAAGACCTCTGGGCATATGGTACTTCATCGGAAATGATACTTGAAGCTGGGGAGGGCCCCACTAGTGTTACAGAGAAATGCATCTCACACATTGAGATCAGTGGGTGCAAAGGCTGAAGGAAGACATCCTCGTATGTTTAAGGAATGGAGAAAACACCTGCAAGCCTGAGCATGAAAAATGAGGGTGAGGTGCTAAATGAGATGCAGAGGGATGGTCAGGAGGAGTCAGTACAGAAAGCAGCAGGGCAAAGCAATTGAGATGAAGGTAAGGCATTACTTATCTGAGCCGCAGGAACTGTGTTGTGCATGAAACGCTAAGAATATAAAAGAAGTGGATACACCAAACGACACATTCCACTGCAGAGAATTAAGCAATGAGTGTTTGGGGGGTTTTCAAAGTAAATCAGGGAGAGAAAGAGAGAGAGACAGAGACAGAGAGATAGACAGAGACAGAAACAGAGACACAGAGATAGATAGAGACACAGAGACAGAAACACAGATAGAGGCAGACAGAGAAAAAGAGGGAAATACTGGAGTTTTTCAGTTGACAAGTGTACAGCCTGGGATTCAGTGATGGAGCACATCCACCGCTGAGGTGGGCGGTGTGAGATGTTGGAACTGAAAGGCCCCCAAGTCTGAACACTTCAATAGCATCAGAATTGAAACTTCAGCTGAGAGCCATCCTGCTGGGTCATTCCTGATAATATCACAGCCCAAGGCCATCTCCCCAGCCTGTGTGACCCAGCTCTTCTCCCAGCTCTAAGGATTACTAACTTTGCTGCTTATTCACCTCACTTTCCATGTTTGAAATCTAACCAACTCACGTTTACCTCTCTTTAATTACAACTGTCTTGAATCATGCACTCACTGGTTCACCCAAACCAGGCAAGGAATTTTTATGACTACATGGTGCTCTAACCCTCACAAAATCCACATACAAAATACAACATGTCTTTGGGTCTTCTTTTCCTGCCTAGAAGTTAAAACTATGATCTTTGTATCACTGTTAAAATACAAACTCAGGAACTATGTGCAAATTCTCCTTAAAATGCCCTCGTGTTCAGCAAGCCTTCCTCATTCCTGCTGACTCCACCACACAGCTATGAGAGACAACAGGAGGACCTCCATGGCTGGGCTGCTGTGTCACCTACAGGTAGCAAACGGGAAATGATACTTACTGTCTCTAGTGGTACAGATGCTCCAGGATCTAGGAATGCAGGCATAGTTTCAGTTTAACACAACGCAAATGGATACAAATTACAATTCACAAAATATCTTCTAAAGTAGACAAACAATGGGAGCAGCAACTGATGAGCCTCCCTACTCCTGCTCTGCATGAGGAATCACGGCCCAGCTTCCAGCAGCCTAACTCACATGATGCAGCATCCCCGTCACACACACCTACATGGATCCAAAACTGAGGCTCTGCTCTAAGTTGACCCAACTCAATTTCTTCCTTAGAACATGGTTTCTGTTCTTTCAAATTTTCTCAATGTAATGTCATATTCACAACACCTGCTAGCTGGTCACCACAGTAATTATAGGACCTCGATCTCTATCCATGAACCCTTTCCATTGATGGTGGCAACAGCCAGGAAATCTTTAACATGCCCCATTTAGACAATCACTGCACACAGAGGCACCCCAGGGTCACCCTGTTCTACAGTCATGGTTGCTTCTGGGGTGTCCTAATTTCTTTCTGAGTGCCATACCTCAGATCTCTCAAAGCTTTACATTCTAACATCACACTACATACTTCAGTGACCTTATTTTTGGTAATTTTTTTATTTTAATAAATTTTTCTTTCCTTTTACATACCAATCCCTGTTCCCCCCTCCCTCCTTTTCTACTGCTCTCCCCCACCTATCCCCTTCCCACCCTCATCCCCTCCTCATAAGGCCTCCCGTGGGGAGTCAACACAGGCTGGCATACCCAGTTGGGCCTGGACCTAGTCCTTCCCCACCTGCACCAAGGCTGAGTTTAGAACTCAGTGAATCAGAGGATAGATGAGGAAAATACCTGTGCACTGTAAAATTGAAATAAAATTTATAGGCGTGAGTTGTTGTTTGAGTAAAAGTGAATGGGTAGTAAGCTAGCCACAGATACAGTAGCTTAAAATGATAATTATTTCTTAAGATTCTGTGAATGAAGAGTAGAGCTAGAAGAAGAGATTTTTTGGGGAGATCCACTTTAAGCCTTAGCTAGAAGTGCAAATGGGAATTGGAACAAAGACTTTTGCAAGGGAAAATGAGGCAAGAGACAAGTGGAGGAAGTTGCCTACAATCTGATGCTCCAGTTAGAGAGTTCTCTGAATTTGGGGGGCC